GGTGGTAGATTTCCTTTTTAGTTCGTACACTCTATGTAAGCTAATAGATAGTACGATAAAGAAACAAACAAGTTAATATCTATAGTAAATATGGGCATTATTTAACCGGCTCTAAATTTCCATTGTTGTTACTGATATGCGTAGGTAAAATAGAAGCTTCTCTGTAGACGTCTGCTCGCATTCGCCCTGGAGTTGCGCTTTTAAATTTTTATAGTTTATAAAACGTCTTTCACATGTCGATTACTGTTAAACAGGCACTGGTCGTTTAGATGACTTCCTGGATAGATTTTCGTTCGACGCATGACAAGGTGTTTTTTACTTACTGTTTTAATCTTCGCTCGAAAGCGGGACATTTTCATTGTTTTTTTTTTGGGTGAAAAACTATGCTTTGGGAGGGCATAGATATACCGAAACTCTCACCTCCCCGTGTTTAAGGCGTTGGACTATCAATAACTTTGGCGATAGGTATTATAGATCTTATGAGTACACTAGAAGAAGCTTTGCTTTGCGGACTTCTTTTCTCATGGATTATTGTTATGGAGAAAATACAGACCCGCTGTTGCAGGACTGGTTGGTTGTGTAAAGTACGTTGATGTACAAATAGTCGAATACATTCAGCAGGCCATGTCAGTTGTAGCGCCTAAAGCAAATATATCTTGAGAAAAGGTAGTCTGGTTTAGGCTAACCGAGATGTACTTCACTCTACAAAGAATATTACTTTCGTTTATTTGTACAAGAAGAATATTCGAAAAGAAAATGATATTCATTAGGTCCAAAATTCTCGTATGTGTGTATGTGAAAGAGATATTCGTTTTGGACCGTATGTTATGTTATATATCCATTACCAATAACTTTCATACGATATTTAATTGCGAAATGAAGCAAAAATCGATCATGTATTGTCAAATCATATTTTTTGCAGTATTTAGCAGCATTTCATAGATAATCATACAAACAAAATACTATATTTCCTTAGTGTATTCTATAGCGTGCGCAGCTTTTAGATAATTAAAGCTAAATTCTCGATCCACACATCGAAAAACCTCAAATGGAAAGGTTTACAATTTTGATGCGGTAACTTGGAAACACGAGGGAAAAATGTGTATAGTAATTTTGAATAGGCCTGCATGAGGTGACATTAGGTGACTTTTACAGTTAGAAAGAAGAAAAACACTAAAGACACTTTTATGGTTGAAGATAAAGGCTTTAAATCGTAATCTTATTACCAAGGTATGCACAGCTCGCAGACAGGCCGACAGTGACACACATGTATTACTCATGTTGATCACGTGTATGTAAACGTAATCGTGTCTTCAGGGTATATTTCTTTTATAAGTCTCCAAATATTTGGGAAATCCAATACACTCACTAAAGTGGGTAGCTTAAGTTTAGGATATAAAGTTAGCATTAAATTATAGTTAAAGAGCACATAAAACAATCGGTGGTTTCTTAATGTGATGAAAAAAATAAAAAAAATAATCTTCAAAATTATAACCGAATTTATTGGCATTAAAACAAAGTTATTTTCCTTACAAGAACACAAATTAATAGGATAGTTACATACATATCATCGTAACGGGTATACATAACTTTTACATACGCATATACGTGTGCATTCAAGGAAAACTCGAGTCGAGTGTCGAGTAAGTATTATAACCGCAACTTTATACACGCACGCATAAATACTTACATACAACCATAGAGTATTTTATATGCAATACATCCCTCTGCAATGACTATTGTCACGATTGTAAGAAAGGCAAAAGTGTTTTGGGGGCGAGCAAATGTTTCTCCGCTATATTCCTTTAAATAGCTAATAATCATCATAATTTTATACGTCTGCCAGGCAAAATGATAAACTGCACTCATACTCTTCGCACCGCATACGAAAAACCGATATGAAAATTTATTTGAGTTCTCGCTCTTTTTCTCATATGCACTCGACTATATACTTACTTACCACTTTAGTGATGAGTGCCGAAAATTTCCCAGTATTTTACATAAATAAACCACACCCTACGCAACATATGCTTGTGCCTCTGAAACACATATGAAGTTGAAATGTGTTATGTGTTCTTTCTTTCTCACAATCTTTAAATATCAATTTTGTCGTGCTTCTATAACTATTGTGTGAGGTTCTTGTGTAATTATTTTTTGAATTTTTTCTCTCTTTTTTTTTTTTTTTTTAATTTCATTTTCTTTATTTGTTGTTTATGTTTTTATGATGTTTTTGCTGTTATGGATTTTTTTCTTTTGTTTTTTTTTTTATTTTTTTTTTATTTTTGAAAGGATTATTTTAAGTGAAAATGTTTCTTTACTTGTGCTGTTCTTCGCATTTAACTGCCTTTACAGTTTATTTGCTTTGCTCTTGCATTGGTTATTGTTATCGCACACACCGCTCACTCTAATGATTTTCTATTACAATCACTCTGTTCTCACACTCTTGCTCTTGTCAGTTGTAATTAGTAAGAGAGCAAAGTAAGTTCAACTTTTCTTTGCTTATATTTCAATGAATTTGTGTTCGGATACGCAATCATATTGTAATACACTGGAAATGAAAGCAGAGTAAAAGATAATACGTAAAACTTATAACAATTGCTACATACATACTTGCTACCTAAAATCGACCTTTCTCAATGATTTACGGCTATTAGTTCCCTAAGCAGTTAATATTTGATTTTATTGGGGACAATACTGATAGGAGCTATTTTTGCTTTTGAAGCTAGCTGGTAACTGAATTAACATCTGTGCAATGCTTATTTATTTTATACACAGAACCAACTGTAGCTGGTTGTAGATTTACCTTTTAACTCGTTGCCCTATTGCTTACGTTCGATATATTCATGCTTTCGCAGATTGCCTCGAAACTATTCGTTGCTATAAAAAATTAAACTATCCTTCAATATATACTGATATCACTTGTTTTAAAAAATGACAATCGAATTACTTGCATTCGCACTCTGCGACAGATATTTTTTAACTAAGGGGTGGCAAATGCAGATTTTTAATTTGTGTTCTAAATAATACAATTAAAATTGAACGGGAATTACATATTCATGTTTTTATGTTTAGAAGACATTTAGACATTTTCTTTTATCTAAACGATCAATTAACTGAATATAAAACATTTAGTGTACGATTGTACATAAGTTCGCTTGCATTGCTATGTTTGTTGAATTCATGTTCGACTTAAGAAGAATTTATTTTGTTAAAGTGTACTCTCTGTTAATGACAGTAGTAGAATTTCTTACAGTGTATGAATCCGCATAGACAGCATATACTATAAAAGACACATGAAAAGCAATAAAAAAAAAAATACAGGTGGTAATGGAGTCAGTCGTTCTTGCTCCCTTACATTTAACGGCAATGCTAATAATGATGGTGGTTGATAATATTGATTCTATGCGTGTGTGTGAGTGGCAAAACACTTTAAATTTAATCAACTGAGTTGCTGCCTTCTGCCGGAGTTCGATGCTCTGCTACTGCGCTACAATGTTGACCTGTCATCCCTTTCTTTCGCACGTTAACTTTCAATCAGATGTGAATTCGTATAACTTGTAGCAATTTGTTGTTCTTTAATGGTATGAATAAACAACAGAGAGACAACATTGTGTGTATGTACGCAAAATAAAAAAGCGAAAAGAAGAAAAAAAATAAATATAAATAGAATACAATGGTACAGTGGGGTTTAACTGAGATAGTGAATGTTTGTATGTATATGTGGATACACCGAAGAGAGTGTTGCTTGTTAATTGCAACCATAAACGTTTGTTTTTTCCTTCCCTTTTTAAGAAAACAGCAACACTTGTGAGAGTTTCTCGTGCAAACACATCTCTACACATGCATGTATGAATTCATGAAGGAAGACTTCATACTCGACGTCCGGAGAATATGTTTGTATATAATTGTTGTTGTTAAGTTATTGGTTGCTGTGCAATGGGGAATGAACGTAATAAAGTAGCAATTGTGTGGTTGGCAAAAGTGGTTTCTGGTTTTCTGAACGCGCTTTGGCAAATATTTTCATACTTTTCTTGCTCTTTCTTTATTTGATTTTAGTTAAACTTCTACTGAGAGTATTAAGCGGAAACACTCATACATACATGCTTATTAAGAGGCGTTTTATTTTTTTTTTATTTTTGTGTTTTTCTTTATTTAGAGAATAACGGGTGGTATCAACATCATGATCATCAAGTCTCTGACTCGGTGACTGTGCAGTGAAAACCTTTAATTCTGACAAACATTATGTTTAGTTCGAAGTTGTTGTTAATAGACGGTAAAAACATCAAAGTGGTCTTTTCACTGTGCATGAATCAATGACTAAACGAGCGAGTGAGTGAATGAAAGTATACATATGTGTATCTATATACATATATATATATATATATATATATATACGAATGCTATGAACATATGTAGAGACAGAATACAAGAGTATTCGTGCATTGGATATGTGTGTACGCGTCTGTGTTTGTGTGTATTTACTGATTGTTTTCAAAGTGTAATTGTAATTCGAATCAATTTGTTATAAAACGAGGCAACATTGATAATACGAACAACGAGAGTGTTTTACACTGCCTTCCTTAACCACTAATGTCTGGATTATTACTATCATGACTTGAATGTACGTACGTAGCATTGTATACATATTTGTATAAATATATATATAAAATCTTTCAAACAATTTTATGTACATATTAAAAATGCAGTAACAGTTTCATATTGATTTCCTAAACCGAAAGAAAAATCTGAACGGTAATAAAAAATTCATTAAATTAAAAACAGCTGAGAGCGTATATTTTTAAAAAAATAAAAAACGAATAAAGAAGAAGACAATTAATTAACATATATATATATATTTTGTTTAACGTTCGCCCGGCTAATTTAGTGTTAAACAATTTCGCAATTCATTTTAAGTGAATTTTTTAATCAAAATTTTATTAAATAAATGAAAAATTTTCAACAACAAAAAAAAACAAAAAAATTGAAAAGTTCTTATCAACATGATCATGGATCAAATGGTGCGACACCACCTTCCAAGGAATTTAGCCAATTTAGCTGCCACTCCCTGCCACAATCCTTTAGTGTTATCTCCACCTCAGTCACAACAAACGAACTTGCTATCACCTAATGCATTTAATTTATACGCTGCTGCGGCGGCGGCGGCTGTTTCTCAATCGCGTGTACCTTCTTGGAGACCTCTTTTTCCGTTTGTGCAGCGCTCCTGGTTTATTAACTTGCGATAATAATTAATTTTTAATTTACCGTCAGCGTATATTGTCGGCTTCCGTCGCTCAAACTGCAGATACTGCGGTTTTGGCTGCCTGTGCTCCTGTAGGTGCTCTTGCTGCTCAGCATCATTTTTGCCACTTAGCCGCGTCTAATCATCTAATTTTGCCGGAATTGAATAACAAATCTTTAGCAAGTAGACCATCGGCCGCAACTACTGCTGCTGCCGCTTGCCGACAACAACAAAAAATCGATTTACAAAATAGTATTCTGCCACTGTGTGATGGAATAACGTCAAACTTACCAGCCAGTCCACAAACCGACGGTGATGAATCGAACGAGGGTAAGTGCTTTTGAACTGAAAGAATTTTATTATATAAAATAAATTGTGTTAAGAATCGTAATCGCAATGGTATAAACGAAGAGACATGGTAAACAATAAGGAACCAATGTAGAACATAAGGGAATTTTTAATTTGGATTTGTTTACAATTTATGACGGGATGATTTCAAGTTTAAGCGGCAAAGTTAGATTTTAGTAATAGATTTTTATATTTATCAATATAAATATAAATATATATCGATTCTGTGATTTTGTCGGCAAAAATTGCCTCCACTCAACCAAGTTCTTGTCCGTCTGTACTCAAAGATGAAATATTAATATCAACTTACTCCGATAACAAATAAATTTGCAATAGTTTGAAAATTAACTTATTTGCTCGATACTTTTTCAATAATCTGCATTTGCTAGCAGACATCAGCTGAAAATCGATTAAAGCAGGGAAACCGTTTCGATCAAGGTGAAGCAAGCATTTCTCAGAGATTACATTTTTTTTAATAGTATTATGCGTCTAATGTTTATCCGAAGACTTAAATAGATTGCCTTACGTTCATCCACGATACGCTAGTCATGTGCAAATAAACGCCTCCGATCACGCGATTCATTGAGATGAATCAATTTAGGCAGCACATGTCCCTTTGTTGTTTTTATGTTGCCTCACAATCGTAAAAGTTGAAACATATAGACTTGAGAGAAAACTCTTTTCAATATTAGCTACACTAGGATCTTTGGCAAACGAGCAGCTCTATGACAAATTGTTTAAAACAGCGTTTTTGTTGTCTGGTGATGTTTTATATGATTTCTTAGATGGAGCCTGTTTATCCGCTCTAAGCGTAATTCGATATAGTGTTAATGGGGAACCATAAACTGTTTAGTGATTTGGTCGCTTGAATCTGCGGGTCCTTGGAACTTTAGCGAAAATTGTTAGGATTTAGAGAATTAGAGAGGAGTTTACATATTATGGTTATTCGCAAATAGTAGTAAAATTAATAATAATAATCAAGTGATAACGGCAAGGACAACAGCAATAACGACATCTGTAATAAAAATTATATGGTTACAACAACAATAACAACAATATCAATAACAAAAATACTTGTGATAATAATAATATGAATTAGAATAATAATCATATCAAAATAAGTAGAACAACAACATCAAAAACAATAATATTAATAATAATAATAATAATAATATTAATAATATAAGTAACATTAACCAGTAGAGCAAGAAAATAATCGGATAATCGGATTCGAACTGCAATTGGAACACATCTGAATTGAAACAACTAAAGTAATAAATGCGACGTGATGCCGGTGTTGACATAAAAAGAGGACCATGAATAGTTGGTTAATTCGGTTCATCGACGATTTTATACAAATTTAGAAAAAAACAATAGAAAATGACAGACAGCACAATGATCAGTTGCGATCGCACCGCATATATCATGCAAATTAATATATTAATATATCACGGCCGACATAATAAACAATAATTGAAAAAAAAAAACAACAAATAAATTATTAATGGTAGATACGTTATTGCTAATAAAACAAGGTTGGGTGTATCTCCAATGAAAAATCAACAAATTATGTGAGTGTCACAGAAGGAATTAAACCGAGAAGTGAAGATAGCCCGCCTGCAAAACTAGCCCACCAAGACAGCCCACATTTTTTAAGGCTTGTGTCTTTGCTGACATTGTCTTTCCTAAGGTTCCGATTTATAGCGAACTAAAAAAAAAAAATTTTAAATTACAAAAACATTAGAAAGCATGCACATACTATAAACAAACTGTATATACTATACAAAAAAAAGAAAAACTAAGCCTTTAATTACGAAAGAAAATCTCAGCTATTGTTACTAACTTTCATGCACAATTAGAGTACAAACACTGAAATAATGCAACGTTCAAATCGAGTTGTAACAATTTTCACAGACATATATATCCTGTACATAGTAATGAAATTTAGCTTTTCTGATCTATTGCAGCGTCCTTTAAGACATTTCGAAACGAAGACCTGCAGTTGCTTAAATTCTCGGTATATTGTAACTTTTCGCCGACTATATACATACGCTATATGGTAAATAGTAATAATAAATGATTATTCAATTCTTTTATAACAGCATACATGAATTCATTTTTTATTCATGTTTGTATTTTTTTTTTTTTTTGTTTAGTTTAGTTCTGATTGGTTTTTTACTATTCTTTCAATATCTCTCAATTATAAATCGCCTTAGTAGAGACGCGAGCCAAGTGTGAAGATAGCTTACCTTTTAGCAAAGACAATAAAGCGGCGTACGTACGTAGTGGGCTAACTTCACGCCAATGAACTTAAGCAGAAGTGAAATATGTTTATAATGAAGATTAGAATACTAATCATGGGCGCACGATGAACGATAGACAAACGCTAGAAGCATCGACCACAACGCTAAATAATGATATTAGGATCAATAAATATATTATTATTATTGTTGTTATTATTATCAATTTAGTCCATAACAATATAATATAATAGCATTTTTAAGTTTTTAAAAATCTTATAGCTTATATTTCGGCGTTTAACATGCCTTTTTTTCATTTTAATCTCAAAGAAATAATAAAAGTCTGTTTGTATAGCGACGCCTAGTACTTAATGCACTACAATACTTATAAATAAGTCTAAGCTTCCCTCCCCCCCATCCTTTTCCCCTGTTGTAACAAACACGATTTCTTTTTTGCCAATTAATTTATATAGAATTTTATTACAAATTTCTGACCGATAAGCACTATAGTCTCTACACACAAAAATGTTCAATTTGTCATTAGTAGGTTTTGTTGCGCTTTTAAACGTGTTTTTAATCTGTCAAAAGTAGCTAAGAGTATACCTAATTTTTGCACCCTTCACTGAAGGATGAAAGGCATGTTCACTTTGTCAAAACGTTTGTAACGCCGGGAAGGCCCCACAAAGTATATATATTCCTAATCAGCATCAAATCGTAAATCGGTTTAACCACGTCCCTCTGTCCGTCTGTGTAATGTCTGTTGCAAATATTCTCCCGAACGCAAAAATGAAGCTATCGACTTTAAATTTGTATGGAATTTGTCTGTCTATGCAACCATGTACCGTTTGTGATAAACATTGATTCCGTTAGCGAAAATAAAGATATTGCTTACAGATTTGCGAGAGAATTTGGAACTGACTTCAACATTTATAAGGACACGCCTACAACGTTCCTACGCCTATGCGGCAATGCGCGCATACTCTTTCTCGTAGAGCAGGAAAATCTTCTTCTGTCGTTTCTTTTGTTTTTGTCCTTTTCAGGGTAAGATTCGTTCACGACCGAATATAATTTCCTTACTTGTTTTCTGTTATAATCCCTTTCTAAGTCCAAAACCGTCTAATAAAAAGAAAGGAGGCAACAAACACGACTAGCGGCTTAGCGGCTTGTATTTTTTTTTTTTTTTTTTTTTTTTTTTTTTTAGAATCGTTTGTACAGCAAAGTGTATGTTTTACAGTTACAAACGGAATGATAAGTCTACCTTAACTCTTTATCTTTGCGCGGCTGAAGTACACAACCATAAAAGAAATCAATTTAGCTTTTGCATCTAATTCAATAATAAAATCAAATAACGAAGGCCCCATTCGAAGCAAAAAATTTGATATGAGAAACAATGAACGATGATTTATTAATTTTAATTGCAGGGTGTGAGGGAACTCAGGAAACATCTGTTAGAGCAACAAAAATAAAATATTGTAAGAGCATTATAAACATATATATATTTGATATATATATATATATATATATATATATATAGGAAAACACACCTAATTAGAAAGTTGAACCGCATATCCGTTGCTAAAGATATACAGAGAGACAAAGAGCATAAAACGCATGCATATATATATATATATATATACATATATATATGTACAGATACAAACAGACTGACAAGCTAACAAAAGCATAAAATAGTAATCAGTTGCACAGTCTCAGAAAAATTAAGTTATTTCACCGCATCTAATGGAGGCGTGGACGCGTTCAATGTTCAGCTCATAAAAAAAAAAAAACAAAAACAAAACAAAAAAACATCACTTAAAAATAAAGAAACGTATCAATCTTACGCTTTTATATATCTGTGCATAGCCATGAACACATAAATAGCACACACTCATCATCAAAATAAGAACAAAAAAAATGAAAAAAAAAAAAAATTACATTTACTTTAAAATAATTTAATTCAATAAAAGCAATTTCGCGGTATGAGACCTCTTTGAACACACAGATGTAGCACAAAAAAATGAAAAGATCGGTTTCTAAGTGAACTATTCGTTGGTTTGTAAATCTCTTGTATGCTGAATTAATTATTAGTTTCGTTAGACGCTACAATGGGTAAAAGATTTTAGGTAATTTTTGACAAAAAGGAAAATATTTGTTTTTATGCTCGTGTGGAAGTGCGTGCCATTTATACGCTCATGGCTGTGTGCCGCGTATGAGCGTAAGGAGGATTTTTATTGTGGATTCTGAAACGGTTGTCAGTGGCAGAAAATCAAGAGTAATCGCTTCATTAATACCTGTTTTGTTTTCTTGCATAATCTTCGGTGTATCAAAACTCGCGTTAGAAGTTGAAATTGGTTTCTGAATTGCCGCAAAAACACATAATTATAATTTGTTCTTGTACCTTCCACATTCCGGGCACTAAATACATGAAATTGAATATTGAATAGCTGTGAAGAAAAATATAAAACTTATTTGGCCAGATTTGGTAGAAATCGAACGTTCGTTATACTTCCAAGTTAAGTTGTAAAGAAAAAGTGACGTTTAAGACAACGTTTAATTACATCATAGAGTTGGACTATAAACTTCGTTCTATAAGCTTCACTTCACTTCAGAGATCTTTACACAATGCAGTTGAAAGCCGAAAAAAAATAAAACAGAGCTGAAACAATTTGATGCAAGCAGCACTTCCGATTAGTTTTCAATCTGCACAATGCTTACTTTAGATAGATTCTCAATTTCCTCATT